TCTTTTCTGGTGTAATACAAATATATTACTAAAATCTTTTATGATAGTTAAGTGCACCTTATCTTTCTAGATTTTATATTATAATATATAATAATAAGAAATATATTATAATAAGAAATGAGGAGAGGGATGAAAAAAAGATTTTATGTTTACTCATTTTCTTGTCTTGAAAGTAATGAATTCTAATTTGCGAAATTTTTTCTGATGTCAATTACTGAAAATTAGGTTATTCTATTAACTTTTCTGCATGTCAAGAACTTCCATAGCAGAAATATTTGCATAAATAACATTCTGCGGTAGCTCTCGTTTATTATTTTTCTAAATTATTATTTGTAGCATAAAGGATAAAGGTGAAAATTCTTCACTGTGTACCGATTATTCAGTGATTCCAAATGATTCTAAAGCCTGAGTTTACACCACTGCTCAACGTTACTCCACATTTTGTCGAATGCGACGATGTAGTAGAACTACTGCCATCTCAGGCATCAATGACTCTAATATTTTAGACGCCTCAGTGTAGATAGTTCACGTCTGATCTCAGGCTTTTCCAACGAAATTATCGGATTCTTTGAAATATAAATATTACCACTAAACTAATTTGGTCTTTCATCAGTGTGAATTCGTTTGACCGTCTTATGAAAATAACAACAGCAGGATCCACTCTCTATATGAGAGAAAAGACACATTTGTATACGGTATCGTCTATATTTATTGATTGCATCTGGAGAAAAAAATCAAGAATCATAAATTCCATTTCATATATCACAGCAAAGAAATGAAGAGTAAACCCCAACAAATGAGACAGTGTCACGAAGCATGGAACTGCAGAATAGTCCTGGAATGGAAGAAAGCAGCCTATAGTAAGATATCGACTGCACATCAATATCTATTTTCTGCTTGAGGTACATAAGGATGAAAATTATTTATCTCATATACATGAGGGAAGCTTTAAATTGTCTGGAAGGGAATATTTCATCTTTTTCCATGCCACAGTATTGAATTTCTATAGTATACCTAATGTGTTTCAAACTTTATATTGGCAACTGGAGGCATAGGTGGTGGCCCCATGGTAACACCTTGATGTACGTTCATATTATTCACTTGAAGACCACCATGAGAATGTGACTGCATTATAGTGGCACCCGACGATTGTGGACCTGGATTAGGACGCGGGATTTTCTGCAGGATTGCAACGAGTTGCTCTCTTTCATCAAATGTCTTCCACACGCTATATAAATTTATAATGATTTTTTGGATTTCCAGTACCTGAAATTAAGTCCTGAAGTCATGATAGTCCACGTGGATTTTAATGACAATGGAACCATTTGCCTATTACATTTTTATCTGGCATTGAGCTATGAAAATCAATATCGTTTCAAAACTGATCATCGCTTCGTTATAGTTTATGAATTTTTAGTGCTACCGAATGTTTGTGTATCTTTCACTGTAATAACGTTACTCATAAAATTATTCATTAAGTAACTTGCACAGTCAACAGCTAGCCAGAAAAATGGAGCCTTAAATTTATGAAATCACCTTTGATATTTAATAAACGGAAATTTAGTGCGAAGCTAAACAGAAAATAAAAAAATTATCCCTCCAAATAAATAAGGTGGACAGAATAAGCAGTCACCTTTTCAAAATCCACAGAAAGTTCTGCAAACCAATTTTTCAGCTCTCTCTCTCTATTTGTCCAAACCGATGCTATCAAAATGCACGCTAAAAATAATTATTCAGAACTTTGTATTTATATAGTTTGATTAGCTTTCCCCACTTTCTTATGCCAGAGACGCAGCATGGATCTCACGTCAGGTTTTTCGGATTATCAACAAAGTCTGTCGCTTTTTTCTACTTTTGACTCCCCCTGACAGAAAATTTGTCTTCAAAATAACTATGGACAGAGTGAATAACTATTACCAGTCTCCCATAACAAACATGTGAACTAAAATCTTTACTGCAGTCAGTTTAATTCAAAGTGTATTTATTATAAACCGTAGAAATTTTCTGTATGGAAATGACAGAAATGACGAAATGAAACTTACCAATTGCAATTTGATGTGGAGGATACATTAACGAAAGATCGGTTCTTGTACAATCATTACAAATTTTCCAAGCATATGATGATACTGTGTCCAGATCTTTGTGTTCCCTTCCCATTTCCGCCATTAATTGATTCAATGGTCTGCAAATAATGTCCTCAAATTTCCAAAATTGCCATATCACCGAACTACACCAAAAGTTTCCAAACATACTTTGTAATCGAATTTTCTTAATGAAAAAGAGAAGTCTGGAAAAGTTGTAGCTCTTAATCGCACAACTGCTCTTTTAAATATTTATATCTAAATTCCATCTTAACTTCTTTATTCCATTTAAACTAAATGTACAACTTAATTATCGTGGATCACATAGAAAACATTCATGCTTTTCCAGTATTCTTGCATTTACGCGTATCACGGAAATACAGGTAAAAACAAACCTGTATGGATGATAAACAATTAGACAACAGTCTAAAATTTCCAAAAGAAAGAATTCTGCTTCTTGTATATGTTGCACCCGTATCATCAAATCTTGCTGAATGAAGGGCCATCGTTTCACTACAATTCCAAAATTTGATAACAAACAAATTCAATGGGTAAAAGAAGTATGGGAAAATTCGTTGGATTTGTACGTGCATGTTTTTATGTCACCCGTTACGTCAAGTAATAGAAAAGATTCTTCTCATCCATAGAAATACTTATTACAGAATAAGGTATACAAGCTAAAGCACAGCATCTTGAATTATATCATTTTCTTACTAAAGTGTAACCAAAAATAATACTGAAAGAAGAAAATTAATGGGAAACCTACATATAAATATGCCATCTGTGGCGATTATCAGTGCTAACTCTGAATGGGTGAAAGCGATTTTGACTTGGAACTTAGTCATAATTACTAGCGGAAATTATGTGATGCCCTGCTAGTTCATTCATTCATGAAAATGTCCATCAAGAAAAAAATTAAAACTGCCTTTGGCATAATAGATAACCAAAGAATTTCCAAGAACTCCAGTGACTTACAAGCATTATTTGTGGCCTGTATGAGCTTATTGTGTGACATCATTCCATGTTCTTCAACTTTGGATGCTAGAAACAAGGAAGTAGGCGCCAACAAAAATGGATCGATATCTTTCAGTGACCGTCTAAAATAAAAATAAATGTGAGCAGAGCTTTATTTTACATGCTCAACAATTTTATATCCAGAAATCAAAAGAACTGGAAAGAACTCCATCTCCTAATTCTTACACTTTCTATCTTTCATATGAAAATTTCATGAAACTTCATTACCTCGCATAAAAACGACGGAAATAAACACAAGCCGTAGCAATTACTTGCATTCGTGTTTTATGAGGTTGTTGTGAATCCATTCCAATAGCATGAATAACTGAAGAGGATCTTTCAATTCATGACGAAAACGAAAATAACAGTGTGAAATATAAGATTGCCTCATGAACTACGAAGTTCTTCATACTCTAAAGCAGAATATACGTCAGTGACAGTACAATATGCATTATAAATAATAAATAAATTATGCAACACGCATTACTTACAATTGCAGAAAAATATCATCAACTTCGTATATTCTTCCTCTGTAATACATTTCATATCTTCGCCACGCACCCGTAGAATATCCTGTTTGTCCAAAATCCATTGCTCCCTAGAATTTTTTTACCCGTGCTCAATTCACTAACTTATTTTATGCAATGAAGAACATGTAAAAAGAATAGGAAAAAGAAAATGTTGCAAACAGTCACAAACATATAATGAAATGCCCTACGATATGGTAATGCATGCAAGCATAAACTGCATAGAATTCTTCAGCTAAAAATATAAGTTTAAAAACAAACCAATGTGAACTTTGCCAGAAGTTCCCTGCCATTTCATTGCATAACTTACTGTTGAACTTTCATTGTTCATAACTTCAACATCTGAAGTTATATACCTTCCAATTATAAATGCTACTCCATGCACCACATGAGTGTTATATCTGGAATCTACGTTAACGAGAGCAAATAATGTGCATGCATAGTGATATTTTGGATAATGGAAGTAATATAAGGTATAAATAACTGACAAATAATATTCTACTTAACTTGTATGTTATAATAACCTCATAGAATTGAGTGAAAACAGCTAAGCTGTGCCGTAGCGATCACCGTAATATAGATCGCACAGCATATATTATTTGTGAATCTATCATTTCTGCATGTAGTTCCTACGAACGAATTACTCCCAATCACTGCAACTACAAGAAACCATAATTTTTTTATCGTTCTCTCACTTTCCGCGCACTACACATCCTGTAAACCTTGAACATCTCTGCAACCTCCTCTTTAGCATAATATTCAACCATTACCCTCCTTCCCGTTATTACTCTCCTCCATGTATGATTCAAATCGCTATGCATCAATTCTGAACTCCTTGTGAAATCTCTGGTCTCCTGTCAATCTGAACTTTGTAAAAGTCAGATTAACAGATTTATTGTTGTTTAAATTTGTGTTAGTTTATCTCCCCGTCACAATAACCTAGTAATATTATTGATTTATGTAAAGAAATTATGAATAGTAGCGGAACCGTGAATAATTGTGTGTCGTTTTATTATTTGTCATCCATATATATAACTGACTTCACTCACATACACTAACATATGATTTAAATAAACAATAAATGAGCTCTCATATAAGAAAATGAAAGACTTGACAATAGTTATTTGCAAAAAAATTTATCGATTTCATCCTTCATAATGAATAACCAGTCAATCTGTGTATTTTTTAAAGAAATACAAATAGACATCGTTTCACTTTACGTATATTTGCTCAATTTCAAATTGTAAATTGAATTTGAGCCAACCTGTGTCATTTCACTGTATCATTGTGCAAAATATTAAGAAATTTCTCGAATGCATCGCACGATAATCACAACTGATCTAGGATGGATGAAGTTAAGCACAACAAACTAAAACTACTAGAAACAAAATTCTTTGGGAGGTGGAATCGTCGGCACTTTGCCATATTCAAACTCATCTCCCTCAAACTGTTTTATTTGTTCAATAGTTAAGTCTTCCATTTTCGAATAAAGTTGCTGCATTAGATTATTGCAATCATCAGTAAATCCATTATTTTCGTCTTCATCCACTAGACTCTCTGATCTGAAATCAGATTATATGCATTGCTATCGTCATATCTTTCATTGGCAATATTAAAAATTGACAAATGATGCTGAAATGCCCCACCTGGTTCAATTTATCACGATATTGGGCAAGAGCTCACGATTTAATAAATTCCTAATGAAGTACACACTGTTGATAAAAAATATGTTTACTTTGTTTTATCGGGGATCATTCCTTTCTTATTATCTGGAAACAAATCTGTCCCTGATGCTTCTGTTGCTGACTTTCTATTGGCAGTAATATCTTTATCGCAAACGTCCTTACTATTGTTTTGATTTTGTATCAGCTTGATTTTGGCTCCTTCACGTTCTTTCAACAATGGTGAAACCCATTTGTAGCGGCTGAAACAAAGATAGGAATAAGCCGAAAAGGATAAGAAAACTGTTAAATGTGTGCAAATTGGGATTGACTTTTGTCTTTCTGCCCCTACTCAATATCCATACAAAAATTTGGAAAACGATTGTCAAAACTTCATACATTGAGAATACTACCTCTTGTCAAAATGTTGTGAGGATGATTGGAAATGCTCGTTCAAATCGTGAGTGTTAAAACCTGCCTGAAATAACATTTAGGCATAAGATGAAATGAAAACTGCGAACTTGTTATTTCTCACAATGCGCTTTCAATACTCCAAACTTTCTTTTGAAATCAAATTTATAAAGTTATAGTTTTCTCAATAAAAAAAATTGGAATTTGCCATTCTAAATGTAAATAAAAATGAAAAATAATTGAAAGAAAAGATGTATAAATGAAGAAGTCGTTCAACAAATGAATAGATGCACTTAAAATGAAAAGAAATAACAAACACTTATGCTACTATTCCCACTTATAATTTGAAGTCACAGGGAAGTTGTGAATAAAGTAATAAGAAACCAATTAAGTACAGAAAATCAAAGCTGACTAGGTTGGGAAATCACCATAAAAGTTATTAGTGAAAAACTTGACAAAAAAGACTAAAATATAGTAATTTAAGTGATGAATTTGAAACATTATTAGGAGTGTAAGACGCAAAAATCAATGAACTCAATTACGCTATTCGTCGGAATGATTGATTTACCTGTCCAGTTGGACGTCTACGACGTTCTCGTTGTATGTCACCTCTTCTTGTATCTGACTGTTGTAGGTTAACAATTTCCGATTGCAAAATATGTGCAAACGGACATGCTTCACCATTACGGCAATTACCTCGAGCAAAAAATTTACATCGGATCATTGGGTGATGCATGGTGGTTATCACAAAACTCTGAAAAAAACATTGGTCGAAGCCAATAATAATAAAAGTAGAAAATCGCACTAATTATAAATGCTTTAAGACTCCATAGCCTGAACTATGTTAACAAATTAAGACTCAAGAGCTATAATATCGATCAACAAAATATATCAATTAAGTAAATCAATTACGAAATGAACCATTGATATAACTTAGAGACAAGCGAACATCAGCTCACTAGTAAAAATTGGAAGAAAATGATGAAAAACTGACCTAACCTTCTACATGACCAGAAGAGATGGAAGATCATAATCGATCTACGACTTAAGCCAAATACATAAGGGAAGAGCCTTTTTCATATCACAAATTAAAGTTCGAACTGCGTATAAACGTTCAATTTGAATTTTGATGATTGATATTTATTCGATCTTTCATGGAACTTATCGTTATTGTCGCTTTGAGATATCTTCCGTCGACTCTGGTTGTTGTCTAGATTTTGCGATTCTCATTGCGATATCTCGGGTTAACCTTACTTAACTTGCTATTGTGTAGATTGTTTGCTGGAATTTGTGTTGGTCTTTCTAACCGTTGTCAATGTTGTGAACTTGGTAAAATCTGTGAAAGCGTTCATTTTAGCGTTCTTTCTTATAATGTTAAACATAACAGGAAATGGATAGAAAGATTCTGTCCATGTTGGGGCTATTTCCTTGAATGAATTCCTTGTTGTGATTCTACAAAGGTGATAAATGTTCATTTTTGCACGTTTTTGCGCATATTGACTGTTGTGCTGCTTGTTCTTATTGTGTGAACTAAAACAATGCATTAGAACTGAATTAACCAATTCCAATTGTATAAATGACGAATGGAATTGGGCTGAATTAAAAATTTAGTTCAATAATGTCTTTCTTATGCTTAATGTGCTTTTTTCTCATCACTTTTTTCATCATTATGTGATTACACGGATCACCCTGTTGGTATTGTGTTTTGTTTTTATTATCTTCGTATCTTCTTGTAGAGAAGTTTATCAGTGGATATCAGAACACGATGAAACGCCACGGTGGTGACGATGATTTAGGGCCATCGGATAACCATGAAAGTGCAAAATGTGGCAAACGACAGCGTCCAGACAGCTATCAAGAAGCGCTGGCAGCTGGTAAATATGAATTAAGACTATTAGTGTCCAGTCGTGGGGCTGGTGGAATCATCGGCAAAGGTGGCGAAAATATCAAACGATTAAGATCGGAGGTTTGCTTTCTTTCTTGGAAAACTTGTATATTAGCATGTCGGCCGTATTACACGGAACCGAAGAATTGTTGTTGAAACGTTGCATACTTGTAACGTGTTTGACAGGACAGTTTCTGTTGACCGACGTTATGGGTCCCAAGTTAAATGTGTAGTTTAACAGTTGGGATAATGAGCCGCCTTTGAAAATGTTTACACAGCCGCACAATGTGTAGTTACACTACCATCGACATCTGTAGTGCACTGAGTGACCCAACAGTTCTGTTAGTTCGACTGTCGGTATTCCTTTTTCAATAAAATTGTGAAATAATTCATAGCGATACATTCAAAAAGAGGTATTACTTCACTCATATTATTGAAATGTTACTTTCTTGAAAAATATTTCCCGAAAAAAATCGGTACATCATATATGATACAGTTGATTAATGCGCTCTTTTCAGCCCTAACTCCCAGTCACAATCCTGATATCCAATCCCGATTTCCTTCAAGTTCACCTGCAACACACTGTTGTTGTTGGATGATGCAATATGTATTTATGGATTATGAATTTAAGTGAAAGGTCAAGGCAAACACTGCTGCCAAACACCAACTGCCTGTCTTTGTCCTAATTTCCATTTCAGTCCCACAGTTTTCAATTTTTTCTTTTCCTCTAACATTTAAAACTTCATCCTTTGCTTTGCAGTACGATGCGAATGTCACAGTCCCCGATAGCCAAACTCCTGAACGGTAATCCCTGCTCCCGTCTCTCAATTTTCTGTGTATTTTTCTTCTTTCCAATCTATTAAATGGGAACAAATTTTTTACTTAGTTTATTCAACTAACGCAATACGTAATTACCACCTAGTAATTGTTATTTCATGGGGCATTTCTTTTTTTGTGGGTCACATTGTTGTGAAAATCGCTAGTAGCACAACCATTAGGCGAATTAAGTTAGCCTTTTTTGGTTTGTCGATGCTTAGCTGTATCCGGCGTGCACAGGAAACGCAGTGCACTGAATATCCGAACAGACTGAGTATTTTTTTCTTTCAGAAATAAAATGAGGTTCAGCTAGAATAAACTCTTCTTCATCCCCTTTTTCGCTAGGTGACAATTTTAAGCAGCAGGGGAGCTTTATTTCGCACCTTACTGGTTAAGTCTTTTTTAGGGGGCCACTGAAAGATATTTTTGAATCACGAATCGGATATGTTTTCAAAAGGAATTAAATGATTTAATCAGGAAAGAAGATTTTTTGAAAATAATGAGATTTTCTTTCGTAATTCTTGCATCATTTTTTTCAGAATTGCCACTATTGTTGCGACAGTTGAAAATGTACTCGCAATTGTTACTGAAATTATTCCGAAACTTGATGATGTTAGTTAATTTGTTAATGTTTTTTCATTCTATTCTGTTAAAACAGGAACGAAAAAATTAGAAAGCACGGTATTACTATGAGAATGTATTATTGCCATGAGTATGTAGTCGGATTGCATGTTTAACTGCATTCAAATATTAATATCGCTAGAAAGGGAAGGTGTTTATAGCTGAATCTACCAAATCACATCTTTTGATAAACTAAGCTGCAGTTAAATCATACCAGATTCATTTGATGCTTCAACAATTATTCCTCCAAAAAAAAAATTGGAAAATTAAATAATATAAAAAAAAAAACAATTGAAAAATCGCCACAGAGTCGAGAAGGTGATTCCAATCGTCCAATAGAGCTTCGTGTTTTGGTGCATTCGTCACATGCTGGTGCCGTTATCGGACGTCAGGGGTCGAAAATTAAGGAAATGAAGGAAGAACTTGGTGTACAAATGAAGGTAATTTTATTATATTTCTCGTTCAATGTAAAATATAAAGATTTTAAATGTCATTCATAAGTGCTGTAAAGGTAATGATTTATTGCTGATTTGTTGTCTCTGGATTTCATCCTTTGTTCACGAACGTTATCGTCAGACTTTCGCCATTGTACTGTTTTCAACGTTTCAGTCATAGAATGATATTTTCAATAATTAATTTTTGCTGTGGAGCATTTATTTATTTTTCAGATCTTGGAACATCCTTCTATCATTTAAGTATAACTTTATTTATCTGATCTGACTTTTTTCATACTGCATGAGAATTATGATGCAACATAATAGATGTAATTCTAGGTATTTGCACAGTGCCCACCTCAATCAACGGAACGTGTTGTATCAATTAAGGGAGCTCCCGACAAAATAATAGCTTGCGTGAACCATATCATGAACATGCTTAAAGAGGTATAATGAACCATGTCGTGAATCATATAGTGAACATGCATAAAGAGCCATTTTTGTTGGTATCAGAACCCATTTGTGTGATAGTTCTTATATTCAAATATGAAGTTTAGCGCTTCAAACCGAAAATGATCAGGCGCATAGTATAAAATTGTAGAATTTTCGTAATCTGCTGCAGAGTTTATTGCATGGGAGCAGTTTCAGATTCCAATCAAAGGAGTAACGAGGCCATATGAATCAATGTTCTACGATCCAAGCTACTCAGCTGAATATGGTGGATATCCACCAGATCGGAACTATCGCGGACCAATGATCCGTGGACCAATGGCAATGACTTCATACGGCAATTATAGTCGCAGTTTTCCACGACAAATTGGCGGACGTGGGCCGTTGTCAGCTGTTGCATTGCCATCATATATGGGGCCGGAAGAAAGCACTCAGGTTGAGATTAATATAAAAGATTTTTATTCTAAATTTAGTTTTAGATTATTGTAATTCACTCTCCATTTCGAAAGCTTTTTAGAAAGAAAAAAAAGATGTCTTAGGTCACGATACCAAATGAGCTCGGTGGTACCATAATTGGTAAAGGCGGTGAACGAATCAATAGAGTACGTGAAGAATCGGGAGCTCAGATCGTCGTGGGACCACAGCAAGAATCTGGGGAACGTATCATAACGATTACTGGTACCTCAACAGCAATTCAAACAGCCCAATATTTGTTACAACAATGGTTAATATTAGTTTCAGTAGAATTGAACGAACTGATAGTACTAAGCATCATACTGAAGATTACGAGAGTAATTCATGCTTCTGTTGTGTCTTAAGTCAGGATCATCTTGACTGCACTCCAGAGTTAAGCTAAGAATAGTAATCTAGCGAATACTCTATTGTTGAATTTACTGTAAATGTCTAAATAGCGATGCTGCTAACGAACTGATCGGTCTATTTCAGTGTTCGCCAGTCTGTCGCGGGACGAAGATATTTGAATGAAATATAACAAATGCACGCTATTTATCTGATATAAGGAAGAAAATTTTGCGAAATTCTGTTCTTTAATTTTGTGTTATGATTGTAAATCATTTGAATGTTTTTTTTAATTTAATTTCTTGGATAGCTTTTTTATTGTGAACGAAGATGTGCGCTTTTATTAGTAAAAATGTTCGTTCCTTTCGCTGTGATGATAAAAAAAAGTTGCTTGTTATTGGGAAGTGTATCTTCGGAATACGCTTATTTGACCGGCATGTAATTTCTTTTAAAAGTTATTCTTTTAAAAGTTAATTGAAAAAATTATGATGATTCCACCTAACTATAGAATGTTCGCTCAAGACTTACCTTCAAATTTTCAATTGTTGGAATTTGAAGTTCTGTACACGTATTTCATTAGTGAATAGTACTGGTGAGTTTGTCTTTTCCCACTTTCGGTGCTGGATCGACGGCTGATTTAGAGGAAATATTCTTTAATTATAGCAAACATCGATTTTAAATGAGAATGTATGATTGAAAGTTGTGCCATCGAGTTCGTAAAATTTCGTTTAACTTTCATAAAAAAATGCAGGTAACCTTGCAGTCGTATTTCGGGTTTTGTTCTGCATCGATTTTGAGCTGTCATTTCTAGCGAAGATTTATATTTTAAGCTTGTTGGAATTTTATTCTAGTTCGGTAGAATCTCGGTTTTATGTATGATTATTCATTCATGAATAAAGATCGTTTATTTTAAGCTTATAATCAGTTGTTTTGAATTTGTTGAAATCAGTCTCGAAGTTCTGTGTACCAATAGGAGCTGTAGGTGTAGAAGTGTTTGAGGACTTCATCAGTGGCCGGTCATTATTTCGGTGACTGAATATTTTACTGACCGAATTTGCCTGGAATACTAAATCTTCGAATGAATGAAAAATTTGTGTGATTTGTGCAACTGCAAGGTTTTTTGTGTCGGATTATATTTGATTTAGCAATTTTGTCTAAAAAATTGGGCGTTAAGGGAAGCTGATTATTTTCTAAGCTCTGTTTTATTCTCGTTTTATTCTCTTAATTATGCATCGATGTTGCTTAATTTGACTTTGCTGAGCCATCCACAAAGCCTAATTATGTATATTTCGCTAATCTTATGCTACAAGTCATTATTCTCATACTCCCTTTGTTCAATCCAGTAATGGATCCTAATTTCAGCCCTTATGCATCGGCTACCTGTACTTAGTTCAGTATTTGAAACAGCGATATATAATCAAAAAAAAATGGAAAGAATTTTCATTTCATTGAAATACTGAGTCTAATAAATCAACATCTGCTATTTTGGCGATTGCCCACATAAAACTTGAAATGCATAGGATTTTGTCGTTTCTTTTTTTAAGTTTTTAAAATGAGACAATTTTATTTTATTTTAGGTTTCGCAATGTCAACAATCTTCGACGATCTCATCGAAGTAGTAAAAGCACATCCCATAATTTATGACATACGTATGAAGGGTTATCAAAAACGAGGTTCAAGACGTGAGAAAGCTTGGCAGGCTATTGCAAAATGTATGCAACAACGAGGGCATGACATAAATGGTGATTTTTTTACACATTTTTTTTGAAAAGTGCCAACTGATTTACTTGTTTATTCTACGTGTTTACAAACTAAGATTGATGAATGACGTTGAAAGTGAAGTGATGGAATTTATATGACAGATTTATATCAGAATTCATATTACGTCATGAAATTCAAGGACATGTCATGTCCGATGTCATTATTCAGCTTCAGTTTGTTACAAATAGATTGAACACTTGTGAATTATATAATATCAGAAATGGCCTTTGGCGAGAATAATCGGATACCTGTGATCATTGTAATAGATTCTTTTCCGAATTTTCTTATACTGAACTTATCTATTGATAACGATATTATCGTTCAATATTTCAGATGATGGATGTCGTAGGAGATGGAATAAGTTAAAGTTCGCTTATACTCGGGACCGAACATTAAGAAGAATCCAAGGCAGTCCTCCTTTGAGGAGTTCTTGCGCAAAATATTTCGATTCGCTTGCATTTCTCAACCCATTTCTTGATGACTATAAAGCGTATTTCTTCTTTCTTTCTTTTTTCTTTTCCAAAACTTCCCAAATTTTTTCTTTTTTGAATACAAGTAAGCAGAATGAGATTTTTAAGCATAGATAAAATTTTTTCATTTAACCCAAAAATCCTAGAAGAAATTAGTACTTTGTGGATGCCTTTTGGTATCGGACTAATGCGTTGGCAGCAGATGGGGCTAAAGTAAGTTTAATATGTGATGTCGAGAACCTGTGTTTGAAGGGAGTTGTTGTTCAAGGTTTGAAAAAATTTCCAAGACTTGTCATTAAGCTTTACTCTTAGCGAAAAAACGAAAAAGCGTAGAACACGAATATCCCTAATCACTGCCGATATTCACTAATTCTGAATTATCATCTACCATTCAGATGATTATCTTATCAAATTTCCATTACAATGGAGGATGAAGTTGAGAAAAGTGGATTTTTCAGACGTCCAAAGACAGTTCAACCAATAGTTTTGGATAGCGAGTCAGACGATGATTCTGCTATTCACTCAACAGTTCTCGAAAGCGAATGGGAGGATGATAACTCCCCAAATAATAGGTAATGTAAGATTTCTCTTTTTAATGAGGGAACGTCGTTCAATCTCATCTTCCATTCGATTTTTTGTGCTTACATAAACTCTGAGCTTGAATATGGGACATTACTATTTTATAGGTCGCATTTATTGGCAATGAAGGCAGAGGAAAATCAGTCTTTGGAAGTCAAAGATGATGAATGAATTCCTGCTGAAATCTGGAATCACCTGAAAATTCGAGTATTCAAGAATTTGAACGCATCGTATTTTCAGGACAAAATCGAGCAATAATTTTATGTATATTTCATTTTGATGTACAAATGTGCCGCCTATTTGTCTTTTGTTCTTTGGAAATTATCCTCATCTCATAAGTTATTTTTACCGGTTGCTGCTTAAAAGTTGAAATTTTGGCGTGGGCTTTTTTAAGGAACATGATACTTGCATTATTTCTGGTCTTTTACCCTATTATATGATTACCGAGAGATTAAAACATAACAAGGTTCGAATTTTTTCTTCGCTGGCCTATTAATGTTTTTTAAACACAGGAGTAAAGAAATCAATTTTCAGGCATTTATTTCTTCGTTCGTTCTGTGATTATAAATAAATCGTTGATTTATTTATAATCAGTGTTTGTTAGAAAAGGTTATGTTTATTAGGAAAGGTGATGCTTTATCCTTAAAATTTAACTGAAACCGTTGATTGGTTTCTGCTTTATTGTAAGTACGGGAAAGCCATTTGAGCTTAACTCCAATTTAACTGTTTTAAGGAATTCGAGAGCTGTTTTATCTTTTTTAACAGAAGTTCTAACTGAATTGTACTATTCTAACAGTATGTCGTTATTTCTTAATTCAGTGGATATTAAATGATTCCTTGTTTAAAACAAAATTTGGCTTTACAAGAATTTTAGTATCAAAATTTTTTTGGACAAATACAAACCAAAAAATAAGTTTGAAATTTTGCTGATGAGTTTTGAAAATCGATTTAATTTCAATTACTCGTGATTATGTTCCTGCTGCTTCCATCTACAGCAGAAATGAACAAACTGGACGCAGACATCAATCTCAGATATTTTATGGAATAAAGTTGTTACTTATCTACTTCTTGTTGATACACTGTTTCAAAGTAGATCTATGCGCAAATTCACCCAAATAAAATTCTAATTCTTGATTTTTGCATCGTTGAATTAAACATTCAAATAATCATTTAAATCCTACGCCACACTTGCAGTATTATTTCACGTCAGATAGTTTAGAATATGCATATATGGCAAGGCGGAGAGTCTTCACCTCTCCTAAAACATCCTAGTTTTAAAGAAATTTCTCGCAATAAATGATAAAAATTAGCATAAAGAGGTATTGATGTTACACTCGGCATTTCTACTGATATTTTTCATTATGTCGAAAAAAAGCGATAACAAATGGAAATGTCGGGAAAATCATTCCCTCTGTTTGAAAAAAATAATTTTCAAATCTTGAAGTATTTCAAGAACAATTGAAATCAGAATATTCGATAAATATATATAGTATAGGCTAATGAGATTCGAACACGTATTATTTCAAACTTTAAATTCTGAAAAATAAATAAATCAAAGGCTGCTAATCTTACGAATGGGATTCATTAAAAATAAAGATGTAATGTATTTTTGTAAATATAGTTATTAGATATATATTTAAAGCACTTAGAAATTAATAAATTCTTTACAGTTTAAATTTGAAATAGAATGATATATCTGAAGTAGTTGAAATTCATGAAAGAAATATTAGATTTTTTCCAGATCTTTCTTTTGAATGTTTTCTGATCTTTGGGACAATCAATATAGGTAGATCTATATAAATCATTCGTCCTATTTTTCATCTAACATCTAACATTCTATCCACAGGTAAATTTATAAGTTGTTTTCCATTAAGGCATTAAGGCTTATGAATAAGGTAAAAAAGATAAAATAAATTACCATTATTTAACAATTTATTGTTTTAAACTAAAATTATTTTAAAAAAATTAAATTAAACAAATTACCGTTATTTTACAATTTGTCGTTTCGAACCCAAATTATTTATTATATTTAATTAAACTAAAAATTATTTATTTATTTGCTATTTATTTGTTAACTATTATTTTTGTATATGATTTTCATGTTGACTGAAGTCATACTTCAAGATTACTTATTAGACTATAAATTTAAGCTTCATAATAAATCATTCATCACTTTTACTATTCTATTTCACAGGAATTCATTCATTCAATGGATGAACAATCAACAAGTAATGATGATATTAGTGAAAAGTTTAGTGCACTTTGCTCTATAACTAATATACGACCAAAAACTCGTCAATGGTCATTGGATGATTTCGAAATTGGTCGACCATTGGGTAAAGGTAGATTTGGAAATGTCTATTTGGCTCGAGAAGTTGAATCCAAATTTGTCGTTGCTATTAAAGTTGTATATAAATCACAATTGGATCAAAATAATTTGAAATTGCAATTACGGCGTGAAATTGAAATTCAGTACCATTTAAGGTAGATATTTGAAAGATAAAATTGATTTTATATCTGTTCAAGAAAGTATTTTGTGTGATACATTTGCTATCGTTTGAAATCTGAATGATAGCAGCAAGAGATAAGAATATTTCAATGTTTGTTTATTTCCTCTAAAAAATTAATAAATTGATTACAAATATTACAAACTTATCAATATCGACAGATTTTACTCATATCAATTTATTAATTGTGTATAAAACTTTATTCTCAATTATATCCTAGAATTGAATTTAAATTTAGACATCCAAATATTCTTCGCTTATATGGTTATTTTCACGATGAAGATCGCGTTTACATGGTGTTAGAATTTGCGCCAAAAGGAAGTCTCTTTGACAAACTTCAAGTGGTATCGATGGACTATTTGAAGTTCAATCTATTTTGTTCACATTTTGTTTACATTTTTAAATTATTTAATAATTAATTTTAAATCAATAAACATCATTGCAGTTTCATTTTCGTTTTATTGATGAAAAAAAAACAGATTCCATTTTAGATGAAAACATTTTCACCCGAATTAGCTGCAAAATATATGTATCAGTTAGCATCAGCTATGGAATATTGTCAACAGAAGAAAGTGATACATCGAGATTTAAAACCTGAAAATGTTTTAATTAGTGCAAAAAATATTTTAAAAATATCAGATTTTGGATGGTCAGTACATGAACCTTCATCAAGGTATTCTATAGTTATAGTTATATCGCATATATCATTTCATTTTATTACTCCTAAAAATTATATTAACCAACAAGTTTATCAATATTAGAATTTTAAGATTATTTTAACTTCTTTTTCATTCATTTTAAAACTACCCTCAATAACTTTCAATAATTTATTTTTCTTTGTGAAAAATTTTTTTCGATGGGAAAATTCTTCGATGAAGAAAATATGTGGAAAATTTTGAAATTTGAAATAAGAAAATTTACACCTTTTGTTTATTCATAATTAAAAATGTCTGTAGTAAATTTTGATCTTTTAATTTACATTTATTGTTTATTTATTTTAATGTTATTAAAGTTGTCACAATTTGACGAAATCTTCTTTTTCTTGTTTGTTTAGACGAAATATCGTATGTGGTACATTGGATTACTTAGCACCAGAAGTGGCACCCGATAAAACGCATGATTTAAAAGTTGATAATTGGTCGTTAGGTGTTATGCTGTATGAATTCTTAGTTGGTAGACCTGCATTTGAAGCTAAGGTAAAATATTTTTGTTAATTCTACTTTATTAAATTATCATTGTTAATTCTATCTATAATGGAATTAATCAGCAATATCTCGAATACTTCTGAAATCTACTTACAACTAAAAATGATAATTTGGAATGAATTAGATAGGAAATTGATGATCTGTGAGATATTATAGTGTTTTCAGATGATGTTTTCAGATATCAAATTACATCGATATATCGTATCGTATCGATATATATTGACAGAACAATTTTTTTTATTCCAACCTTTGAATGTTTTGTGGTACTTACTTCAATATATTCTTTCAGACCGTGGAACGAACTCTGAGCAATATTCGCAGTTGTAAATATACTATACCAGATAGTGTACCAAATGGTGCAAAAAATCTCATATCATGCGTTTGTTTTTAATAAATCTCTTTTAATCTTTTCAACAACAAATTGCGCAAATATCTTATCAAAACATTTTATCATTGTTAGTTTGATATTATCGTTTAAGGAAAGAAAAATGATGCAAAAAAAGTTAAAATAATAAATTGAAATTTATTTTCACAATTCACAATTTAAAGTTTATTTAAAGGAAACAGAAAAATGGATGCTGAAATTTTGACAATAATAAATTCAGCAATTTAGCAAACTAAAAAAGAAATTTATTTAAAAGAGTGAAAAAGAAGAAAAGGAACGAAATATCTTTAAAAGAGTGAAAAAGGAAAGTTAATTGAAGCTGTCAAATCGATGTAAAAGTAATTTTGAAATGTTGCGATAATAATTTAAATGGAGGGAATTTTTTCTTTTTAATATTTAATTAAATTTTTAGCTACTTCAAATAGATCCAACGAAACGTTTACCGTTAGCAGATGTTCTAAAGCATTATTGGATTCAAGAAATGATTACAAAAGAGTGTAGCGAGTAGAAAAATGAATTTGTAATTTGGAGAAAGAATATTTTGATTTTAAAAAATAAGCAAAGTATTGTTTGTTACAATCAATCCTTCTTATTAAATACTTTATGAGAATAACTGGAAATGGAATACTTATATATATATCTAATGATTAGATTCTAATTTATCACGATTCTAACTTAACTTATCATATTTAGGCGGAATTTACAACTGAAAAAAATGCACTCTTCTGTTTGTAATTGCAATGATATCAAAAGTATTATTCTGAATTAATGAGAAATTATCTAACATTTTCAGAATTATAATAATCTATTTCTTTTTTATCAATTTTATTTCCGGACTATGTACTTTTTTCGGATATTGTAGAATTGAGAATAAACCAGAAAATACAAAAATATTTGTTTCGTTATATATCGATAATTGAAAATTAAGAGGGAATGAAAAAAACAAAAGATAACGAATTATTTTCATTTCCATTCAGTATAAAGATTATATCAAATTTAACAAATTAGCAATTACGTAAATCATCATTAATGAAATAATTCTAATTCAAATAGTTATTTTCAATACTGTATTGATATTCGATTTATTAAATGCATATTGTTTTTACGTATAATTGAAGAAAAGATATGATATGATACGGATAGTATTATGCAAATTTGTTTCCTTTTCTCTTTCTTTCATTTTTTTTGTATTTATCACAAGATGATTTATATCACTTCATTGATAATATATGCATGAATTTGACAGGTATTTAGCATATTCGTTAGCTATGGTACTCATATGAAATGAATGGTTATTTTAGGTCATTATATCATATTTTAGGTTGTTATATTATATTTTAGGTTATTGTATCATACATCTTTACAATTTGAACGTTCGAATTGTAAAATTTTGAAATGATCGATGGTAATTTTGGATAAGAGTTATAAAAAAGGTATGAAACCTGTTGTTATCAACCGACTTGTTTTGTATTAAAGAATTTAAGGAAAGAAAAAGAAGGAAAATAAGGAAATTTGAATAAAACGAAAAACTGTCATTTACACTTCCACCATTAACTCTATACTCGAGAAATTTATTAAGTAAAGATTTGAGCATAAAATTTAAAGTATTTCGTTTCATCATATTTTTTTTTAAATGATGACATTCATAATACTTTATTGATATGAGGAAGATAATAATATTTTATAATGATTCATTTATTTATTTTGTAGTCTATTTCAATGCATAGATATTGGATTAAAATATATTCATTCATTTATTCAATCTATAAAGCTTCAATAATTAACAATATCACAACTGCTATGATAAGAAACATATATATAAATATATATATATATATTGAATTTTTTTGTCTATTATTTATTATCAAAAATGATTATTGATCATTGATGTCATTGTTCTTGATATCACAGCAACAAAAGTCAACAAATCTTTGCGTTTGTTTGTGGTGATAATGCATCTGGTAAATCGCTACAAAGCATTATTAATTAACCTATGAAGGATGTAAGGTATGATATTTTGAAATATCAAATATGAAAGGTAAGGAAGTATAAATAAAACAAATGATAATCATTTCAATATATCAGAAAATGAAAAAAATATTTCAAGAATGCAATATCAGTATCTTACTGCAATACCAATTATCGTACTGCAATGTTGATATCTTTCTGCAATACCAAGTATCATATTACAATACCAATTATCTTATTGCAATACCAATTATCTTACTGCAATAGCAATATCTACTACAATAGCAATATCTTACTGCAATAGCAATATCTACTGCAATAGCAATAGCAATATCTTACTGCAATACCAAGTATCTTATTGCAATATTAATACCTTACTGCAATATTAGTATCTTACAGCAATACCAATATCTTACTGCAATACCAATATCTTACTGCAATACCAATTACCTTACTGCAATACCAATTACCTTACTGCAATACACATTGTATTTTAATTATCATATTTCCTTTTTTTCTTTTTTTTCCAATTTACCTCAAAATATTTCTTTCTCTTTCCAATTTATATTTTAAATATTAATTCTTTTTTTAAAGAAAGGAAAGATACTACTGTCATTGGTTACTATCATCATTTTACTTTATTTCATTCTTTCCACCCTTTGTGTACCGTTATGAGAATCAAATATAGGCAAATTATTTCCGCTCAATTTTCTATTCCCTTCATTGTATTATATTTGTATTATTTAAGAGAGAAAAGGAGAGGTAGAGAGAGAGAGAGAGAGGGAGAGAGAAAGGTTTGATTGATATACAAAGGAACCTTTTTATTTCTCTTTTATTCTATTCTTTCATTTTTCATCTCTTTCTTTTTCATTAAAAAATTTGAATGGTTAAATTTTTGAAAGAAAAAGAAACGGTTAATATGTTAGTATTATTCCTTTTTTTTTACCGTATATAATTGGCCTTCTTACCTGTAAGGTTTTCTTACCTTTCTTTTCCTTTTTTCCCACTTTTAAAACTCTTCTTTTGATCTCTTTATGACAGCCGGCTCAATTATCAGATGATAATGATGAAAATAGCAAGCGACATGAAAGGATGATAATGATGAAAATAGCAAGCGACATGAAAGGATGATAATGATGGTAAGATGAAATGATAAATTCAAAAGATTTATTATTGTAAAATGTAATAATTAAATATTCACTGTTGAATGCTTATTAAAATATTTGAAACATTTGAAACTTTAAAAAGGATTTTTTAAATTGATTTTGTAGAAAATTTTCTTTCAAAAATTTATATACGAAATAAATTTTGATAGAAATAATTAGCAACAAATATATTTATTATCTAATATAATGATAAAGGTCAATTATATGATATGATAATAAAGGTCAACGATGAAAAAAGTGTGCGATAGTATTGGAATTCAAATTAAATGGAAAATTATACAAAAGATATGATGAAATTTAAAAAATTTTTTTCTTCCTAAATTTTAAACTTTAAGTTTTTTTGTTTGATAACATTGCAAAGCAAATGAAGGAATTATTAATTAAATTAATTTTTAAATTTAATAAAATATTTAAATTCCTTTTTTCATTGGTTATAGTAAAATTAGCAAAGAAATGGATATAGCATAGTTTGATGGACAATTAATTCACTTCTTCTCTTAATTAATATTTAAAGTATCAAAATTAATTAAGCATTTATATATTTAAATATGACATACGACGTATGGCGTATAATATACGGCGTAATCGTTTATAATAACATATTAATAATAAATTGTGATACGAAATAAAATACCACTTTGTATTATAGTTTTATTCATAATATGTGAATTGGATATGATAATCAATCTATCGCAAAAGAAATTACTGTTAATTAAATTTTGAAAAAAATGATCTCAATTTTTTACAGGTATTTGCTAATTTTTGAAATTAATTATTTCTATGATGTAGCCATATAACGAAAATATTTTAATTGAATTGAAATTATTCGATATTATATATGAATGTATTAATTAGAATCGTTTAATTGATAAACCTGAAAACTTTCTTCAGGTATATTCATTTCGAGATGGGACAATAATTGAATTAAATTTATTTCAAAACGGAAAACAACCATTTCTCCCTTTTCCTTTCCTAATTTTCCATGAAATAAGCACAATTTTATTTACAATTTAATTCTACCAATTTCATTTTTTAATTTTCCGGATTAGATATCCGGCTATATGTTGAAAAATAACTCTTCTATACATAATTATCTATGAATAACATCATCATTAGAAAAAGTAAATCCATAATTTAAATCCAGAATTGTCATTTTTTCCATAGCTTATATAGCTGCGCTTAATAATATTCAAAGCACTCCTCGTACAATAAGATATCTCAAATGTTTTTCATACAATAAGATCCTAGATGTATTTGTCATAAAATAGGATAACAAAACTTTTCCCAATTTTTAATCGATCAATCAATATTTCCAAATATACATAAAGATAAAAAAATAACCCCCAAAAAATACCCCGATCCATTTCTTTTTTATTATATTGAGAGTTCCCATTATCCCATAATCTATTATTCCTTTCTTGCGCATACTTAATGATTCTTCTTCTAAAATGATGAAACTGTCAGCTTATAAAAAGAAATTGAAATAGGAAATGATTTACAACTTAATTGAAACAAATTTTTTCTTCCTCTAAAAATGATTAGAATCTTTTAATTATGCCAAAATTGTTAAATATTAAATAAATTTTAGGTTTACTAATAATATTTGTATTTTTGTTATTTCTGCCAATTATTTCTTGAAATGGCCTTTTTTCATCTTTTTATTTTATTTTAATTGCTATTGTAAAAAGGTAATTTTGTTCTTTTCGTTCTTCTAATTTTGAATATTAAAGAGTTCAAAAGTTGTTTGAAATTAGCAGCAGTAAAGTGATTGATAGAAATAATGAATATTTCTCTGATCGTAAAGATGTTTGAAATATATTAGCCTAAATATATTAGCCTAGCCTAGTTAATTATTATTAGGTTAGCATAGTTAATCATTTAATTCAGTTAATCATTATTAGGTTAGCCTAGTTAATCATTTAATTCGGTTAATCATTATTCGGTTAGCATAGTTAATCATTTATTTCAGTGAATATTTTGCATCTATTTTGGAATACAAAAATTATTGTTACAGAGTTTTTAAGTTCAAAAGTTGTTTGAAATTAGTAGCAGTAAAATGATTGATAGAAATAATGAATATTTCTCTGATCGTAAGAATGTTTGAAATATATTAACCTAGCCTAGTTAATTATTATTAGGTTAGCATAGCTAATCATGTAATTCAGTTAATCATTATTCGGCAAGCATAGTTAATCATTTAATTCAGAGAATATTTTTGCATTTTTACTGTAAACTTTCAAGTCTTTCGTTTTTACTTTAATTTCAAATTACTAATATGAAATTATGTTAGTAACAAAAATTTCGAACCAAATCGAATAATTTCAAATATGTTGAAAAGATATAAAAGTGCAAAAGAAATAATTGTTTATAATAT